TTCCTGTCCTTTGAAAATGACTGCTCAAGTGCTCTTTGAAATCTGTGAGGCTAGGCCGGGCGTGGTAGCACACGCCTGTAATCCCAGCACTCGGGAAGCTGAGGCAGGAGGATTGTTCTGCGTTCGAGACCAACCTGGGCTACAAAGTGAGCTCAAGCCCAGCCTGAACTGCAGAGCAACACTGTCTCAAAAAGACGAAAAAAAAAAACAAAACAAAAAGAACGAAGAGATCTGTGAGACTGCCAGCCTTAATTTGTCTGTTGTTACAATACATTCATAGGGGACATGAGCAGAAGAATCAGTATCAAATGTAAAGGACATGTAGAAATCATATGGTTTTTAAAAAACAAATACGAATGAAATCTTAAAATAGAGGTAAGGATGCTTTGGTTGAAAGAGAACAAAATGAGCTCACCACGGCCCTACAGCCTGGTTCAGTTTGTGTCAGGGGACACCCAGAGAACATTTCTCATTAAATTTGCCTGGCACTCTCATGTTAGTGAGAGAGATGCAGCTTGCCCAAGGTTACTAATCAGACTGGGTGCACTCTCCTGAACCTCAGGCCAGGACTTTCTGTACTCTGCTGCAACCTTATTGAATTGGAAGGCTTCTTAGTCCAGGCTAACACATTTGGAGATCAACTTGGGACTGAGCTGGTGAGAAATAAGGAGACAAGAGGAAGTTGATTTGGAAGGAAGATAGCCAAACACCCTACGTAGGTATCTCAGACTGGATGAGCTAACGGAACCAACCATAAGGGTCTGGATTCAAAAAGCCTATCTCTGTCCTTGCGGGGCACAGGGTTCTAAGAGAAGTTCACTGCAGATCTGAAGCAGATTTGAATCAGGTAGATAAAGACTCCCTCAGATAGCTGCAGAGAAGGAGTGTCTGGGCTTGAGTGAGTTGGGCTGCTCTATCTGCAGCATCGGAGAGAAGCTGGCAGTCAGAAGGTGAGCAATAAATACTGAATGAATGAATGGATGGATGGACTAGAAAATGAACGCATCGTTAAACTCTAAAACCTGAACCCATGCTTTCCGGAAAGTAATTCTGTCCTTAAATGTTAGAGCTGCACAGATCTCTCTTCTTTCGAAACGGTGGTACTGAACTGCTGATCTTGCTTTATTTGATATGGTAATGGTTTGTCTGTCATGGAGTTTTTGCCATAATTTTTATTTTTTAAAAAGTGCATTAAAATATTATTTACCCTGATTACTGAGTTTTGTACCTCCCCTTGATTTGGTACGTGAGGCAAAATCCCTGCATGCTTTCCTTCTGGGCCCCGAGGTAAAGTGATACTGCAAACAGGCGGCTCAGCCTTACTCTGTGTCGAGCATGTTTGACACACTTACTTTTGGGACGTAGGGAGTGGTTTCTTCTTCTGGTTTTGTTCAATCTCTATCTCTCAACAAAACACTATTCCGCGTTGGCTGTGTGGAAGGTAACGCGGGTGCTTGTCGGAGCCGATGCCTAGCTGAGTCGGGAACTTGGTGGTAGGCGCAGAAATAAAGCAAGTCTACATTTACAACGTAAGGTAGAGGAGTGGTGTAAGAAGCAAGGAAAAGAGGTGAAGACAAGTGGGTAACTTTATCTGGGGGAACTTGGAGAAATCTTTTGCAGAAGGTCATATTTGAGAGGGACATTGGGTCCAATGTAGCCCAGATACTTCTGGGAGTGTGGAGAAGATCAACCAACCAGTCAGCTCACAAAATTAGTATATTTTGTTGGATTTAAACAGGTGTGACAATGACATGGCTATTTTTTCTTCAGTAAAATTTTTCATAATAATGCAAACATAGACTTTAACAACTATAGACTTAACTGCCTTCGTGTAAAGTTCTAAGTCCATTTTAAGTTCTTCAGCCTGCAAGAAATAGCTGATAATGTCCCTCAACGGGACTCCATATATGGGACACAAATCTTTCTCTTATGAAGGAAAATCTGAGGCTAGATCACAAGTGATGTTTACTGCTGCCTTCTGCTGGTAAGAAAAAAGGTAGCACGCAAAGCAAACTCCCCTTTCACCTGCGGCACCCACCCAGGTTTGGGTTGTTGACATTGTTCTTAGTGATAAGGTCATTCATTCAGATTAAGCAACAACCACAATAACATGGCAATTAGCAATTGAAAGTATGTGGCAGGCTGCAGGGAAAGTGTATTAGTAATGATTCTCATCAAAGTCACACCATTTAAATTACCTATGTACGATGATAAAATTAGGGATGCAAAGAAGCACACGCTGCGGAGGACAAGTTTAATTTTCTAGCTTTCAATTCCTCTACCCGGACTGACCAGTTAGCTGAAGATAACAATTAGCATGGAGATTATCATTAATAATAACATCTATTACTGTTAGCATGCTTGCTACAAAGAGGCAGTAAGATCAACAGAATCAGCAGGGTACTCGACTTTCATATGCCTAAATAAATAAATCAAAGGATGTGCAGCTCTTACCCTGAACCACATACAAAAATTAATGTAAAACATCACAGACCTAAGTGCAAGGCAAAATGATAAAACTTCTGGAATAAAATGCTGAGGAAGAACCCGTATGATCTTTGGTCAGGCAAAGATTCTAAGTTGAAAATGGTAAGGGGACCAAGAGATGGAGGGAGGGGGACCATACAAAGAATTGAGATGTGTTTTTACATGTACCAACTTCATTATGAATGTAATCTTTATCTACTGCAAACATGTACTAATAAAAACTTTAAAAAGAGTCTTAGGACACATACATATGAACCATTAAAGAAAACATTTGGTAAACAGGACTTCAGTGAAATTAAAAACCTCTGCTCTTTGAAAGACACTGTTAGGAAAGTGAAAAGTTTAGCCACAAATTTGGAAAAATATTTACAAACTATTTACAAAAATATTTACAAAAATATTTACAAAAATATTTACAAAAATATTTACAAACTATCTAGTAAGTAACTTACTTCCTGTGTGTTTGTGTGTATACAGACGTCCAACTCATCAGTAAGAAAACAAGACAATTAAAAATGGGCAAAAACTTAAAGAGACAACCCACAAAAGAAAAGATACATAAAACAAGTCAGCACATGAAAGATACCTAACACAAATTAAAACCAGTATACAGCTGTTTTAATGGAAATTTGAAGATAAAAAAAGAATAAGAAGTAGAGGTTGAAGATGTGGACAACTGTACTTCATAAATTGCCTTGAGAAATAAAAAGAGGCACAGATTCCTCAGGAAACTGCGTGGAGGTTTCTTATTCAGTCAAACATGCAATTACGAATTGAAAGGGCACCAATGGAACAGATTAGAGGATGCAGAAATAGCTCCATGCTCACTCAGCTCCCTGATCTTTGACAGGAGGGGCCAAAAATTTATGCTGGAGGAAAGATAGCCTCTTTAACAAACGGTGCTGGGAAAACTGGCTAACTGTATGCAGAAGGTTGAACATAGGCCCTTATCTCTTACCACGTACGAAAGTAAAATCGAGATGGGTCAACAATCTAAATGTTAAAACAGAAACAATCTGCTGGAATATATACTAGGTAAAACTCTTGAAGACATAGGCATAGGGAAGGACTTTCTGAACGGAACCTCAGTTGCACAAGAAATAATAACAAGAATGAACATATGGGATCATAACAAATTAAGAAGCTTCTGCACAGCAAAGGAAACAACCAACAGAGTGAAGAGACAACCTGCAGAATAGGAGAAAAATGTTTGCCAGCTCTCCCTTGGATGGAGGACTAATACCTAGAATATATATGAATCTCCCAAAATTAGATCCCCCAAATTTAAAGAACCAATCAAAAATAGGCATCTGAAAAGAACAGACACTTCTCAGGAGTGCAAATGGCCAATAAATACATGAAAAATATTCAACCAGATGGCCATGAAAAAAATGCAAAATAAAACTACACTGAGATCCCATCTCACTCCAGAAAGAATGCCCACCATCAAGAAATCACATAACAAGTGCTGCCAAGGCTGTGGGGTTAGTGGAAATGTAAACTGGTACAACCACTATGGAAATCAATATGAAGTTTCCTCAAAAAAATAAAAACTGAAAATTCAATTTGACCCAGCTATTGCCCTTCTAGGCATCTTCCCAAAGTGTTAACGACATCATATTACAGTGATATATGCATACCCATGTTTATAGAAGCTCAATTCATAATAGCTATATCTTGGAAGCCGGTATATGCCCATCAACAGATAAATGGATAAAGAAAATGTGTCATATATGCACAATACAGTACCAGTCTGGGATAAAGAAAGATAAACTTGAGTTACTTGAAGGGAAATGGATGCACCTTGAGACCATAATGTTAAGTGAAATAAATCAGATGAGTGAAATAAATAAGCTTAAATATCACGTAGTCTCTCATATGAGAAACTCAAGTATAAATTAAGAACAAAATAAAATATAGATAACAGAAATAGCAAGGAAAACTTTTTTCATATGGGAAGGGGCCCAAGACATGTATGGAGGGGAGAAGGAGAGGAGGGGAGTGGGATTTTAAAAAAGGAACTGGGATGTGTTGTGTACATGTACCAACTCCACACAAGGAGGGTGCTTATTATGTCTTACAAATATGAACAGAAAAAAAGAAAGAAAAGGAGAAAAGGAAAGGGGCCAAAGAGATGGAGGGAGTGGGAGGGTTGGGAAAGGGATAAAGAATGAAGTAAGATATATCATGCACATTTACCAACTTTCCTGATGACTGTAATCATTTTGTACTGCAAAAATATACTAAAAAAAAAATAAATAAATAAAATGAATATTGCATTCCCTGCTTACCCCAGATTTTGTTTTCGGTGGTTCCAGTTACTTGTGGTCAATCATGGCGTGAAAATATTACATGGAAATTTTCAAAACTGAACAATTTGTAAGTTTGAAATTGTGTACCATTCTGAGTAGCATGTTAGAATCTGAGAGCTGTCCTGTTCTGACCTGCTGAGAATGCGAATCATACCTTTGTCCCCTTAGCAGCCACTTCAGTTATCAGATCCACTGCTTGTGTTCAAGAAATTCTTGTTTTATTTAATAATGGCCCCAGAGTGCACAAGGAGTGATGCTGGCAGTTCAAATATGCGAAAGAGAGGCTGTAAAGTGAAAAGCAAGATACTCTGAGAAGCCACATTTCCATAACTTTCATTACAGTACGCTGTGATAATTATTTTGCTGTTACTAATCTCTTACTGTACTCATTTATAAATTAAGCTCTATAAACCAAATAGTAGATTTTGTAGCATCTCACGTAGGCCATGGTGAAGATATTAGATTTTATTTTAAACGTGCCAGAAAACCTAGAATAATTTTTCATAGGGAAATAATCGGTCTTACATTTTAAGACAGTGTGGTAAACAGACTAAGGGCAGACAAAAGTGGAAGCAAGCAAACCAGCTGGGGAGCTATTTCCCAAGTCCAGGTAAGAGAGAATAACGATACCGATGGGACCAGAGAGTGGGAACGCTGAAAAGTAATCATATTTGAGACTACATATTTTTAAGTAGAACTAATGGTGAGGTGGTTTCAGTGGAGCAAAAGAGAAAAAGATGACTCATTTTCTGCTTTTGCAAATGGGCAAAATGCAACTGATAAAGATGTCTAATGAAGTCGGGGATATAGCTCAGCAGCACAGTGCCTGCTTGGCAAGCACAATATCCTGAGTTCTATTTCTGACACACACACACACACACACACACACACACACACACACACACACATCTAATGTGCCCATAGAGGTCTGAGGTACAGAGGAGAGAGTGTCCCAGGGCTTGCTTAATATTACCCGATGTTAGCACCTGCGTGATATCTAAGAAGTCTATTTGGAACTGGGTGCTGGGGCAATCCAAATGATCAAATGTGCCAAGTGCTGCCTGCAGACAGAGGAAAATGAGGACTGGACAAACACCATGGAGTCACTGTTGTAGGACATATTGGTGTCAGTGGTGGGAAGAAAAGCCAGGTAGGTGCATGCTTAAAAGTGGATGGATTTCTTCAGCCAAAAAATTAATGCGTGTGTGAGGAAACTGAGATGGGGGAGGAACCTATAAATTAACAGGTAACTGAAAAACACATCAGCCAAGCCAGGTGTGGTGGCACACGCCTGCAATCCCAGCACTAGGGAGGCTGAGGCAGGAGGATCATTGTGAGTTCAAGACCAGGCTGGGCTACAAAGTGAGTTCAATGCCAGCCTGAACTGCATAGCGAGACCTTGTCTCAAAAATACCAAAAACAAAACAAAACAAAACAAAACAAAACAAAACAAAACAACAAACACCACACACACACACACACACAAACACATCAGCCAGTCAGAAAGGGTGGAACTTCTTTGGAACCTGAGACATTTGGGATTCAAATACTGATCTGGTAATCGATGATATAAAAAGATCATTACTGTTCTTAAATGAGACAATGATAGTATGGTTGTATTAAAACATAAGAGTCCCTACTTTTAAAAAATGCCATGTTATAATAGAGATGAAAGGAAATGGTGTCTCTGGGCAGATAATTGTGGAAATTGGGTGAAAAGTATGCTGTACTCTACTTTTATTATATTCTCCATTAGTTTAAAAAAATGAAACCCGAGAATCCTATTTTAAAAGAGGTAAAGTCGAGACCTTTTATCAGATAAAAATATTTTTTAAGTGTAACATACTTTTTAAAGACTCCCAGGAACTTTGAAATTTGTGACATTTTTCGTGAAAAAATGTTCAAAAGAAACATCTGCATCTGATTTTCCCATTTAGTAATTAGTGACCGAGAAATATAATAAACGCCTCTGAATTCCTAACTGAAAATAAAAGTAAACGAATGGTGAAGAAATGAATATCCAGAATATTATGGATCTCAAATCCTATTTTTTTCCAGATTGAAAAATATACGGCAAATAGAGTAGAGTCCACTCTCACGTTTTAAAGATTATTTTTGACAGTGACATTAACGTTGACAGAATTTTTAAAAATACCCGCTTACCCATATTTTGTGATTTTTTTTTTTTTTACTTTAGGCAAAAGAATGCCTTGTTCAATTTTAACAGGGGGAATAAAGGAACAGAACCAGCAGCTATTACTTTTACTACCAGAAAATTCAAAGAAATACAGTCCAGACCTGACAGTCTTCTACCACAGAGACAAGGAGAGCGCGGGGGCGGGAAAGCGCAGGCGCAATAGCAACTCGTTGGTCTGAGGCGGGACTAGAGCCTAAAGGACAGCTCCTCCAGCCAATCAAAGGAGCGCAGCAGCGGTTCTTCCGGGCGAAGGAGAACGGAAGTCCGAGAGGAGCTGCGGTGGCGAAAGCTGCTGTAGTGTGAAGGAAGAGCTGAGGCGGGTGGGGGGCGACGGCTTGTGGTTCCAGTCCCGGTGAGTTGCTCCTGCAGACCCCTCGGCTTCCTGGGGGCCGGTTGGGCTCCGAGGCGGCCGCGCGCCGTCCCCTCCTGGGGCGCTGAGCTGCGCGGTCTCTGCGAGGCCTCGCCTTCGCTGGCCCTTAGCAAACGGGAGCCGGCATCCCTGGCCCTCTGGGGCAGCTGTGAAATTAGCTGCTTTGAGGGCAGGGCGCGTCGGCAGGGAGTCAGGGTGCGGGTGCCCGTGGACGGAAACCATCAGCCCTCGAGGGCAGCGCCTCGGGTTCTTTATTCAAGAAGCGACCCCCACCTGCGCCAGAAGAGCGGACACCAGTGGGTGTGAGTCTGAGAACCGGCCGCGATTGCTCCTTCTGGTTTTAGTAAGGTAGCGCCTCGGTGCCTTGGAAAGTTCAGTCTAAAAGTGACCGAGAGACAGTGTCTAGCACTGCACGTTCCTTTTGTATCTTTGGGTGCTGCATGGGTTAGCGATTTATGAGTTTGTGCTTTGGAGCTACAAAGACGTAGGATTAGGAATTTTTTTTTAATTTTGAAGAGAAAAAAAACGTTAAAACGTCGGAGACGATACAGAATGACAAAAAACAAGATGTTAGGAATGCAGTAATGGTTGTTATATTGCATATTGTTGTCTTCAAAGTAGTTGTTCAGATTACCAAATAGAAGCATGTAAAGTGGGTCGAAAAAGTTAAGCATTAGCTGTTCCTTTCAATAAACCAATAGAAATTAGTAGTACAATTGTCTTAGCTCTCTTGTGTGTGTGTGTGTGTGTATATATATTTTCCCCCTTCTTTTTTTTCTCCTTTCCCTCATCCCAGTTGTTCTTTCCTTTCCAGCAGTTTCTTTCCCTTTCACAATATCTTATTGTACCTTTCAGATTTTATTTACTCTTTCAGATTCTTACAATAGGGAGACAATATGATGTTTATACCTGCGGGTCTGACTTATTTCACTTATGAGTGTGGTTTCTGGTTGCATCCATTCACCTACAAAAGCCTAGAGTTCATCTTCTTTTATTGCTGAGTAATACTCCGTTGTATAAAAATACCACATCTTTTTATCCATTCCTCGAGTTTTGTTACATAAGTTACTAGCCCTTTGATCTGGTTGGAGCACTTACCCACGTTGAGACTTGAAATCTTCATCTCTAAAATAAAATAGTATTTCATTCACAGAATCATGTAACTTGTGGAAGATATAAAACGATGACACCTGTTGTGTATTGGTTTTTGGAAATTGGGAACTTCAGTGATGGTCTTCCTACAGAGGGCCAGAGAGCATTCAACCTAAAACAAAACCTTGAGTGAGGGGGAAACTTGGGCTTTCTAAAATTTTATTTTGACGTGCCAGATCAGTGTTAATTGTCTGGCTTTGGTAATGTGCTGTAGTAAGAGACTATTTTTTTTGTTGTTGTTGTTTTTCTCCGGTACCGGGAACCGAACTCACGACCTTGCGCTTGCCAGGCAGGCGCTTTTGCCGCTGAGCTAAATCCCCAGCCCCGAGACTGTTTTTATTTTAGGAATATATACTCAAGTACTTGGGGATTAATGGATGAGAAACCAATAAAACAAAGGAGGGAAAGTGTTAACATTTGGAGAATCTGAGTGGAGACCATAAAATATTTTTTGTAAGTTCATTAACTTTTCTGTCAGTAATGAATTCGTTAAAAGTTTGAAGAAGTCAGATATGCTATTTGCAACAAAAATCAGCATGTTGTAATCAATTGAAACCATACATAAGTTTTAATAAACCTCTCACTCAGCTGTTCTTAGTAGTTGTGTAGACGTCTGTGTTTCATCCAGTTCTCATACTGATAAGTAAATGGCTTATTTGCAACTTCTCCTACTTTTTAAGAACAGTGCTGCATTAAACATCCCAGTATTTTATGGGATAAACTTGTAGAAGTGTAATTGTTGGTTCGAAGAATATTAGCACTTACATTTTTGATAATGACAAACTAGCACCTAAGGGAATTGTGCAGTGACTGGAGAGGTGGGTTCTGTGAGATTGTGAATGGTAGCTCTCCACCTCAGGAAGGTCTTCCTGTTGTGTCCATAGGTAAGGGCTTGCTTCTGAAATTGGGAGGATCACTCCTTAAAAACAGAGAAGACTGTGACCTCTGCTGGAATCCAGAGACTTCCTCATTGGAAATGTTCTCATTGTAGAATATCTGAAATCTGGAGAGTCTGTTAGATGAAAAAAGTTGTAAGACACAGCAGCAATAACTTGTGGGTAGAGAAGGAGAGGCAGAGTCAACAGTGGAAATTGCCCCCTTGTCTCTCAGCTCACTGCTTGGCCTGGTGGGAACTTGGAGATACACGCACATGCCCTCGGTATCTCACAAATTCCAAATACGTTACTTGTCCTGTCTGACATTTCCCTACCTTGAAACTCTGAGCAGATCAGTCTAAAAACCTCGGAATCATTAGATTACATACTCTTTACATGGAGTAAGTGGAAGTTATTGTGGTTCTACAATTCATAATAGCTAAATCTTGGAAGAGGCCCATATGTCCATCAACAGATGAATGGATAAGGGAAATATAATATTTACACCATAGAGTACTACTCTGTCATAAAGAAGGCTAGACTTTAGTCACTGTACAAAAATGGATGCACCTTGAAACCAAAATATTCAGTGAAATAATTCAGACACAAGTTAATGTTGAATTGTTTCTTTTGTATGAGTAAAATAACGAGCAAAATGAAAGATAATAGGAAGTTGAGAGATAGATGCTTGTCAGCAGGGAAGAAGATCAAGAGATGGAGGGAGAGAGAGGGAAGGAAGGGGAAAGAGATGAAAAAGGAATTGGGATGTGTATGTACCTGTACCAGCACACAAGGGAAAATATGTTATTGGTTGAGAATATAATGCTCAGAAAAGACTGGTAGCCTTTCCCTGTTGTAAATACTAATTTTAGAAACAAAGGAGGCCCGGGATATAGCTCAGCAGCACAGTGCCAAAAGAAACGAAGGAGATCATCTTGTCTTGAATCCAAACTGTCAGAAGAAGGAAGGAAATACTCTGTAGTTACTACATGTGGTGGGTTTGTTTTGTAGCTGTACTCTAAACCTTTGGTCTGTTTCTGTAGGTTCTTGATCTTCCACAATGGGTGAACCACAGCAAGTAAGCGCACTCCCTCCACCTCCAATGCAGTACATCAAGGAATACACAGATGAAAATATTCAGGAAGGCTTAGCCCCTAAGCCTCCCCCTCCAATTAAAGACAGTTACATGATGTTTGGCAACCAGTTCCAATGTGATGATCTTATCATCCGCCCTTTGGAAAGTCAGGGAATTGAACGGCTTCATCCTATGCAGTTTGATCATAAGAAAGAACTGAGAAAACTCAATATGTCTATCCTTATTAATTTCTTGGACCTTTTAGATATCTTGATAAGGAGCCCTGGGAGTATAAAACGAGAAGAGAAGCTAGAAGATCTTAAGCTGCTTTTTGTACATGTGCATCATCTTATAAATGAATACCGACCCCACCAAGCAAGAGAGACCTTGAGAGTCATGATGGAGGTCCAGAAACGCCAACGGCTTGAAACAGCTGAGAGGTTTCAGAAACACCTAGAACGAGTAATTGAGATGATTCAGAATTGTCTGGCTTCTCTGCCTGATGATTTGCCCCATTCAGAAGCAGGGATGAAAGTAAAAACTGAACCAATGGATGCTGATGACAGTAACAATTGTACTGGACAGAATGAACAACAAAGAGAAAATTCAGGTCATCGGAGGGACCAGATTATAGAGAAAGATGCTGCCTTATGTGTCCTTATTGATGAAATGAATGAAAGACCGTGAAAGTCTTCCTGTTCTTTTTTCCTTTTGGTAAATAGAGTTGTAAATTAGTTTATTTTCTTTTAGTGTTAAAAGAGGTACTGTATAACTAAAAGCATAAAAGGATTTTTTCTTGATTCTGCTTTTTCAATTATGCTATAAGCAGTAATTTCATTGCATAATAAAAATAAGCAACTGAGTACACCTACATTAAGAGTAATTACCTTAAAAAGCAAAATGTTTGCTGTTGTGTGGCAGATTCGTATTTTTGAAGTTACAGTAAAACTGAAGATGTCCTCAATAGTAGCAAACTTCCATCCTTAAAAAAAGTAAATTTGTCATTTGCTTTAAGAATGATGAATAAAGGATATAGAGGTGTTTATGTGGAATTGTGAAACTTTTAGACTTACTTCATTAAAAGTCTTGCTTTATGTCCAAAAAGTAATATAAAATGCTAAGAGAAGAACCCAGTAGAATTAAATGAATTTTCCCCATGACTTGCTGTAAATCACCCTTGGCCTCTTTCTGTCCTGCATGAAACGGTGGGGTGGCAGTCCCATAAGCTGTCCCTTTTTGGCAGTCACTCAGGTAATGAATTGGTCACTTTAGTTCCATGGGTTCATTTTAGTAATTAAGGTGACCATGTAGTTAACTATACATTTCCTTTTACATTAGCTCAGGTTTACTTTGAGCTGGAAGGCTGCAACAGGAAAAAAGTTTGGTAGCAGGGACTGCTAGATGTCTGCCAAAGATTCTTGCTTCCATTTGAGATTATGTTGAGAGATGCTGCCCAGTCAGGGACTCTGATACCCTAAATGTGGCCTTGGATCGATCTAAGTCCTGGAGAATGGAATAATACGGGTGTAGGAATCCAGGTCTACCTCATTAAAATTTCTTGCATGATCCTCCATTTTCTTCTGCCATCTGGCTAGATAGGCACATTCAGGATATCTGGAAACCACTTGACGTTGGCAAAGATTCAGTCACTTTGGTTCCTTGAAAGAGGAGTAGGTCTTTCATTAATTGCACATGTCCTCTCCCAGCAAATTTGACTTTATGTGAGCAAAAAATATAAACTTATTTTTAGTACTGAGATTTTATATCTGCACTTTTTTTTTCTCCTTCCACTCCATCTGTCTTCCACCCAGGTCTTAGTGGAGAGGTAGCCTTGTATCTGAGCTCTCTGCCTGCCATTTGTTTCCTTATCCTAGATCTGTCACATAGTGTCACTTGGGGACATTCTCACCCCACTCCAGATTTGAGCCAGAAACCCTAGAGACAGCATCCAGGAAGCTATATTTTGTCAAGCCTTCCATGTGATTATGATGCAAGCTCAGGATTAAGAACCACTGATAAAGGTAATGCTGTTTCTTAGATATCTGCTTTTAATTCCTTCCTTACCTGGTTTCTAGCAAAGAATTCGCTTCATTAAGGCCTAACGTTGGGTGTGATAGTGTGTCTGTAACCTGTAATCCCAACCCTCGGGAGGCTGAGGCGGGAGGATTGCCACAAGTTTGAGGCCCGCATCGGTTACATAATTTAAGGACAATCTGAACTACATAGTGAGTCTCAAAAAAAAAAAAGGAATAAAAAGGGTGTTATTGGCTCCGGAACTGGTACAGTTTAGTTTAAAGTGGCTATAGGCCAGTTCTGTGAGATCCTTATATCTGTCGCCTTCACAAGTCTTGGATATAGAGGGGTTTTCCAAGTAGGCACCTCTTTATCAGACAGGTACCATAGGTAGTTCACCAGTCTTTTTTTGGGCTCTAGAGAGTCCAGAAAACCAGTCCAGGATTTCAAGCTTCCATTGGAGTGAGGGAGCAGCTCTCACCCTAATCTTGTGAAGGAACAAGGTTGAAATTGTGTAGTAATGAATAAGCAGCTCTCCAAAGATAGGTCTCACCTGCTTTAGTTCTTAAAGCTTGGTGGAAGGTGTTGGGTAGAGTAAAACCAGTTTGTGGCCATTACGTCTTGGCATGTAGGAAATGGACTCACTGACATCATTACGAATCACAACAGTCCCTTGTATATGTCTGTATGTAGGGGAAGGAGCCGGTGAGAGCTGAGGAGTTAAGTGCCACGAGAGATCCTTAGAGGTCTGGAGGGTCTGATCTTGCAGTGTGTGAGATCTGACATTAACCCAAAGGATTCCCCCAAACAGACTCCTAAGGGTTCTGATGTGAGCTGATATTACAGTGGAATGAGACAGTGTCCAGGAGGCTGTATTTTGTGAAGCCTTTCATGTGATTATGATGCAGACTGAAGATTAGGAACCACTTATAGAGGTAATGCTGTTTCTTATCTGGGAGGAATTACTCTTAGTAGTCTGGTAGTTCTCACAAGTTTAAAAGCTTACATAAGACTTCCGTCATGTATTAAAATACAGCTCTGGTCTGGTCCTGGTGGCGCCTGCTGGTAATTCCAGCACTTGGGAGGTTGAGGCAGGGGGATTGCTGTGAGTTCAAGGACAGCCTGGACTCCATAGTGAGTTCCGGATCAGCCTAAAATACATAGTAAGACCGTGTCTCAAAACAGCAAAAAAAGCTCTGCGCACTTGCTTGTGTAAACATTCTTGAAAGATAAATTCAGTCAAAGTATCTGGAAGAATTGACTGAATTACAGCTGGAGTGACCAATGCCCAGACTGCAAAGATTCTGGTTTCATTTTTCTGGATGAGGCCCCTGGCACTGGTTTTAAGAAGTCTGCAGGTGATTCTGTACGCTAGTTAATAAGTATTGCATAAAGGGTCAGGGATATAGCTCAGTGGCACAGGCACCTGCCTGGCAAGCCCAAAGTCCTGAGTTCGATTCCTGATCCAAAAAAAGTTGCATAATCGATGCTTTTTTTATTGGTGACAAAACTGTACTTAAACTAACTGAAACAGAAAGATGAATTTTTGGGGAGGATGTGGAGTTTTCTATAGGGTCAAAGGATAAAGTGAACATCCAGATCCTGAGGAAGAAAGGAAAGGTGTAGATGGAGTTAGGTTAGTTGGGCCCAAGACCCTTGCTAGTAGCTTCACCCTCTTTACAGACCAACTTTAATGACGCAGGTGGAGAAAATGCTGCTCTCAGTTCCTAAGTTCTATTTACAGATGCTTCTCAACTTGTGGTGGATTTGTATCTTGATAAACCCGCTATAAGTTGACAACATAGTAGGTGGAAAATGCTTTTAATATACCTATCAAACATCATAGCCTACCCTAGACCAGAGATGCTCAGAATACTACAGTAGCCTACAATTGGGTATCAAAAGGGTATTGTATTGTGTATTGCTAGTCCAGGAAAAGATCTAAATTCGAATTATAGCTTCTAACAAATGCTTATCACTTTCAAACCATAGTAAAGTTGAATCATTTTAAGTTGGGAACTGTCTGTAATTCTGTGTTTACCCTTGTCTGTGAGTTGCCTCTCAAGTACAAACTTTAAATTGCCTACCCTTTTAGTTCTCCAGCAGGGGCCCTGATGAATTCCAGTTCTTTCTCTTTAGACTTAGCTTTCTCCATATAAATCTCATGAATGGTCTAAACCATGATCCAAAGTCAAACTGTTAGTTATGTTATTCATTCAGAAATGATGGTTCCCTATGACTCCAAAACAAAAAATTAAAAGAATAAGAAAACCCCTTTGTTCTCTGGAAAGAAAAAAAAAAAACACCTAAATTAAAGGGAGGCTAATAAACCATTACATCCTGATTTCAGCTAGGCTACTGGGACCTTGATCTTGCAAGAATTTTTCCTATTAACGTCCATGTGTGGAAGAACCAATTCATCTCAGAGGTAGGAAGGGGTGCTGAGCTGACAATACTGTACATGTCCACTACAAATTAAGCACATGTAAACTTTGATGCAATTATCAGAAATAAACATTGCACAAACAACCGTATGAGAGTAGTTTTCCCCCAAGTATCCGTTTATTCACTCTGTTCATGTGATGAATATTTGTTGTGGCCCTCTCTTTGCCTGACACCGGTTTAGTGTTGAGTGAGTGGGAAGGGGGAGAAAAAAATGGAAGAAAGACAATGCGATGAGTTAATTATTCATTTTTTAAACTTTTTTATTTTAAAGAAAATAGTACAAAAAAAGAGAACAATAACAAAATACAAACAACAAACAGCAAAAACATTACGAATGATACGGGGTTTCAAACCAAATGATAGAGATTAACAGTGGTTGTTCTATTACACATTGTTATCTTCAACAAAGTTGCTCAGATTACCAGATGTAAGAATAGAAGATTGATCAAATCATTAAAGAGAATAAGAAGATAATAATTTAAAAGAACATTAGAGACAATGCATAGTGTCACTAGGGAGCATTGTAGGAATTCACCAATGGATATTACTCTGCAAATTGTTGTCATCACATAAGTCGCTCAGATTACCAGATACAAATATGCGAAATGGGTCAAAATATTTAAAAAAACAACTTTTAAACATTTAACTGTTCCCCTCAACAAACTGTCAGACACCAACAGTACATTTATGCCGCCGATCCATAATATATAAAATGCCTTTTACCCTCAGAACAACCTGCCTTTCCTATTGTCTGCTGCAAACACCTGGTCCACATTAGTGAGCGACAAGTACTCACATTTGCTGAGGGTTTTAGAAGGTAACTTCTACTCCTGTGCATAGCGTGAGAGAAAAGGGCTCTGCTGGGCCCTTGAGGTTATTGTAAACAGCAAGTGCAGTTGTCTCTAGGAAATCAAAAAGTTGGCATAATTTGAGAACAACTTTTGTAGCTAAAATACAATATGGTGAAGGAGGAGGTGGAGCTAGAGATATGGAGGGCAGATACACAGGATTTAGAGAACAAGAGTTTGGTTTTTTATTCTAAATCTGATGGGAAATCATTTGCAAACATATACAGCACATTGTGGCAATGTTCTCATCCCTTAAAGTAATTTTACCTTCAAATCGACCCAGTAACATTGCAATTATTTTTATGCCCATATTACAGATGACAGAGTGGAGGTTCAGGGGTGTTGTGTAGTTTACTGGAGGTCATCCATGTAGTGATTGGCAGAACCAGGATAAAAAGTAGGCATTCTTTTTGAAAGCCTAAGCACTCAACTTCTGTTCTTCATTGCCCTCTATTCCATCTTATTGCTAATAAGTTGTTTGATAAGTAAGTGGTGAATTAAGTGGGATCCAGTATTTTAATCTTTGAGGTCATGCTTACAAATCCTTCATAAACCTAAACTGCGGAGGTGGAACATATTTGTAGATCAAAATTATGTGTTCCCTTGGAATATATTAAGGCACTTATGACTTAGCTAAGATTTCTGTATCTTAAGAAGATGCTGTGCTTACAGTTCTAATCTTCCTAAAAACTTTTCTTAGTATTTATTGTCCCTGTTTATGACTAATAAAAACATGATT